GGGTTCTTTTCAAAACAGATTTGCCCGGAGCCCAAAATAAAGCACATATCAATAGCAGCATTTGTAATTCCTAAAAAAATAAAATAAAATTTCCTCCCTTTACCCTACCAGCCAGAAAAGGAGGATACAGGACAGAGGGAAAACTGAGGTTTGGTTTAATGTAGAAAATACAATCTGCCTTACGAGAACCCTAGAAACTTGCAGAATGTGTTTTGTCTTACCAAAAAGAATAGGTGTTGGGGTGGGTGAGGGGTGGGGAGACTACTCTGAACCGCCCTGATTCTCTGGCCTCAAGTGAGCCAAGAAAGTTTTCCAAAAGACCATGAAAACATATTTGAAAATCATATTTCTGATAAAGCGATTGTATCCAAAATATATAAAGAACACTTACAATTCAATAATAATACTAACAATTTAATTTAAAAATGGGGGAAAGATTTGAATAATATATAAAGAACACTTAAAACTCAATAATAAGAATACTAACAACTAAAAATAGGGGAAAGATTTGGATTGGCATTTCACCAAAGAAGACATAGAAATAATCAAAAAGCACAGGCACAGATGCTCCACATCATTAGTAATTAGGGAAGTGCAAGTTAAAACCAGAATGAGATATCGTTTTATACCCACTAAGATGGCTATTAGAAAGAAAATAACAAGCATCAATGAGGATATGGAAAAACTGGAACCTCATACATTGTTGGTGGGACTATAAAATAGTGCAACCACTTTAAAAAAGTTTGGTCATTTCTTTAAAAATTAAACATACACTTACCATATTGCCCAATAATTCCACTCCGAGGAATCCACCCAAGAAACATGGATGTCCACACAAAAATTTATACATGAATATTCATATCAGCATCATTCATAGCAGCCAAAAAATGGTAACCCAAATGTCTATTAAGTGGTGAATGGACAAAAAAAATGTGCTATGCCCATATAATGGACTATTTGTTAGCCACAACGAGGAATGGAGTATTAATACATACTACAGCATGCATGAACCTTGAAAACATAATGCTAAGTGAAAGAAACCATATACAAAAGACCATATATTGTATAATTGTATTTATAAGAAATGTACAGAAAAGGTAAATCTGTAGTGAGAAGATGAGTGTTGGGCTGGGGTAGGGACATGGAGTGGATGCAACCGTGCATGTGGACTCTTTTTGGAATGACGGGAGTGTTTTCAAATTTGATTATAGTAATGTTTGCACAACTCTGCAATTTACTAAAATTCACTGAATTCAGAGGCTAAAATGAAAGAAAATATGAGGATCTGAGGTCAAAGGCAATATGAGTGTAGCTGAATGAGGGCCATTTAATGTCCTGTGATAAACAGAGAGGAAGAAAAGAGCATAGAGACCAAACATGATGGCCTCATATAGCTTAACTAATTAGCTCTTTTGGACACTACAACAGTTGTTGGTATTTACATATGGCAGTCAGTTTCCTGTTAAGCACACAAGATTATTAATTGTTTCACCTTAGGAAATAATGTTGTAGTGCTGAGGTAGTGCTACACTTAGTGTTGGAATGACTCTGGCAATCTCGTCTATTAACTGAGGAACTAGGCAAGAGGCTAAGAAAATCATTAAGTTGAATAAACCTTGATATTATAGGTTTTATAAGAAACCTATAGTTTTTGTATAATGGGTTATGTAAGAAAATGGGAGTGAATCCTTAAGCAAAAAGGGTCAGAATGGAGAACCATCCCTACTTGGATCAGAAAGATTTCAGAGTAACTTGCTTTTATGGTTCTGATAATGTAACTCAATTCTGGGAGTAGAGGAGTTGGGAGGCTTCTTTTCTCCTATTTTTCAATGGGATTCCCCTAGGTATGAGAAAACAGTACTGAGAGAGGAATCAATTAAAAACAAGATTCTGTATGAAATTCCTTTGTTCTAGGAAGACTCTCAGGGAGAAGCAAGTGGAACAGGAAGAATTTATCTTCAATTTGAAACTAAAGCTGTATAAATGAGGTGATCCATTCTCTAGGTCCTGGGCAAAAATAAATTCCATTTATGAATAACTGTTTTAAATGTACTTCAATCAAAAGAAATTTCTTAAAGTAAAGATAAATCTAACTTCCTCTCAGTGAACAAAAGCTCCCTCAAGATGGTAACCCAACCTGTACAGGTGTGTTTCTGGAGTGGCATGGAAATTCCTCAAAGGATATTCTTCCTTATCTGTATCATCAAAGCACAGATGCCTTGCTCCTCCCTTACTCAGCCTGGTCTCCTCCAGATTATAGTGAGCATGTCCTCAGATGAGAACCACTGCCGATGGTGAGCACCTGTCATTCCCATCTTGTGACTGGAGAGAAACATGGCTGAGGGCCATGGTGTTATACTCGTGGTTACTTAATAAGGCATGAACTTCTGTTCGTAAGGTCACTGTGAAGCAACAGAGCCAATCTGATTCACCATACTCAGATAATTATAGGAAGCATGTAAACATTCTTCTTTGGATCTAGTTCTAAGTGATTTTTATGGATGTATGCTCTCTTCCTTGACTTAAACTTTCTCAAGACAAAAAACAAAAAAAAAAGGAGGCAGGGAAAAAAAAGATTCAGCTTCCTCAGAAGCTGGATAGATCCAAGATTTATTAGCTGTAATCATAGTTTTACAGACTGTTCTTTCTCCCTTTCCCACCCCCCACCCCAACCTGTAGAGACATATGCTGGGGGGTAAGATCGCAAATACTCCCCTCCTTTTCCTTCTTTTAAATGCTTTTATTTTACCTTTCTCACAAAACGACTATTTCCCATCAAATGAAAAGGAACTGTATCTTGGTCTTGACTGTGCAGGATCACACATAGTAAATCCTGGAATAATGTTCAGTAATCATAGTCATACATATAACTAAAGACCCATGACTCCTGGAGTCTGTGACAAGAAGAAACTGTCTAGTGCACTGTGGATCATTTACACCAGGGTCTGTTTCCCTACAGTGCTCCCTGGTATGGACTAAAGGACATTCAAGATACAATGAAGGTTGAGGTCGCTCTACAAATGCACATGGGTAAAGGAATCTAAATCTCGAAAACTGAGACTAAGAAATGAAGTTTAAGAGGGCCATCTCACTGCTAGCAAGGCTGCTAATTATGACCCTCTCTCCTGGCCAGGGCTTTGGTTAGACTGCCCTCCCTCAGCAAGAGCCAGGTGACAGGGATGGAGAAGTGGAAGACAGGGTAACAGGTGCTCTGAGGCTGGCCAGAGACGGTATGAAGCCTGGACTCCAGCCTAAAGTTGCCAGAGCTGGTCAAGAAACGCACTGGTTCAAGAAGAGTAACTCCCACTTTTGGAAAGAAGCTTCTCCCCTCCTTCCCTGACCCACCAAACTAAGTTCCTTTGATTTGGAAACTGTCTCAAAACCTAGAGATTCCTTTTTCAAAGAAGCACTAGTGATAGTAGTGATAGATGCCTGGGCTTCCCAACCTGCTGAGAAATTCCTGTCTCCAGATGGCAGGAGAACCAAATCTAAATAAAACCTGTTCAATATATTTCTTGGTAAAAATTAGTAACTTGTTACCATTTTTGAGTAGTTATTATATATCAGGAACTGACTCAATTGTGGGAGGCAAGTGCTCTATTTTCTTTACCTTTTTTTTTTTTTTTTAACAAAATAGATCGCAGGTTCCATGACTAGGAGAGAAAGTAAGACACCAGAGAGTATGTAGGTAGGAAAAGGAAATTTCAAGACTAAAAATGCCTTAAATGTCATATGTGACCACATAATTTACTGTCCAAACTGGGACACTTTGGGAAAGAGAAGGACATATTAATACTGATGCTAGGACTACAGGGATAAACTAGGACTGCCCCAGCACAACGGGATGTAATTATCCTACTCTAGTCACTTCGCTATTTAAAATCTTTCAATGATACCCCATCACTTAGGAGTAAATTTTAAGTCAGTCTCATTTCTGCAACTTGGGCATATACCTCAACTATAATATCACATTGGATGAGAACTGCTGGTTTTTGTCGTTCTACCCTCACCAGTCTGTGAACTCAAGGGCAAGAGTCTATGCTACGGGCCTTAATGCTCTATCTTAATGCTTGCCACACAGTAGCACTCAGTAAATACTAAGTGGTTTAGTACAATTCATGGTTGTTCATCCTCCACCCAACATCATTCATGTCTTACAGATTTTCCTCTAGCCATGCTTTTTCCACTCATATTCCGTATTCTCCAGTTGTTACTTCCTGGCTATGTGACTTTAGGCAAGTTATTTTATCTCTCTGTGCCTCAGTTTAATTCACCTATATACATGGGAATCATAATAGTTTATACTTCACAGGATCATTAACAATGTTAAATGAGTTACTGTATAGTAAAGTGCTTTAAACAATGCTAGTTAGTTAGCCCTTATAGTAGTCACCCAGTAAGCTTCTCAAAGGCTGAGGTATTTGTCCGTCTTGATCACTGCTGTATACTCACACCAGAAATAATGCCTGGCAGGACAAACAATAAGTATGCTGAAAGTTTAATGACATATACTTCACTCTTGCTGTGTTTTTTCAATCCTTTGCTGTGCCCTACCAGTGCCACATCCTCTGCATTCCACATACTCCTGTATCTTCTAACAAAAACCTGGCAGCATTCCCTCTAAAATGGGACACTGATAACTATCAAACTCTATGCCAGCAGTCAGAATACTTTACCTGAAACATATTACATTATACTCCTGAGTCTCCTGCCTACCAGCTGTTCAATTTTAAGTATAGACAATGACTGGGGTTTACAAAACAGTTCCAAGAGCCTTCTAGGTATAGTACTGAATGCAGAAGTTATCTACCAGGCTCAGGGCTGAGAATAAGAAAAGATACTACTACCTTGTGTTTCCATTTAAGTAAGGAAGACAACTACTTTGAGTATATACATTCAAACATACACTGTACACAAAGTTACAAATGCTGTAAATCATAAACAGTTAATACAAACTCAGCTTATTTTTTAAAAATGAATTTTACAAAAAATAAAATTACCTAAAATTAAGCCCACCATTGTACTTAAATATCCGGTTCCACTTCCCAGGTTAAGAAAAGACAATCCTGGTTGAAGTTGCAATGCTTCCATAACTTCAGAATAAATGCAAGGTGCTGACAAGTGTATGTTCCCATGCTTCCAGGCTAAGTCTTTGTAAGCATTGTCTCGGTAGCCTTCCAAATAGTAATCTCCGCGATCAATCGCTCTGAAGGCTTGTTCCACTCTTTCAGTGCGGATATACTGAGCTTCTTTTAAGTTATCAATTAAGTCATCATTATCATCCCCAGCACTCACAGCTCCTCCCATGACAGTATTCAAATCAAATCATAAATTTTAAAATGTAATAAAATTAGAAGAAATGGCTTCCAATAATGTAGTATGGTTTGTTTTCCTTTTAATATTGCACTTGATTTCCAAAAATAAATTAATCCTGAAAGGGAAGAATAAAAATAAACAGGTTTAAATTAATGCTCAAAAAGAAAGTAATTCCAGTTTATTAAATATGTAATAGTCATTTTAACTAACTACCATTTATTTCTAAAAGACAGAGTCTGTTCCAGGTATAGTGTTAACTTTATTATTTTAATTATTCTTATAATAACGACAAAGGCAGCTTAAGTATGACCTCATTGGTAGATGG